ATCTCTCTGTTGACAGCTGAACACTGAGACCATAAGTTATGATTTGAGATGATGATGATGTGGGTGTGGGGTAAAGAGGGTGTCACTGCACTTCCAGAGCTAAGCTCCATCCCACTCCTGCAGTAGAGGCGGCTTCAGTCCCAAACCGTCATGCTTATAAAGTGCACGCTGTCAAATGCTTCAGATGTGTGCACAGGCCACGTAGCAGCCTCAGGGTGGGAAAGGATTAAGAAAGGACCGCACCACTCTGCTCTAGGAGGCCTGGAGCAATGCAAAGGAAATGCCTGTAGAATAGTGAAAGGATAAATCTGAGAAATAGCCCATGAGGTAGGGAATTCCACTAGGACAACAAAGGAGACTCGATCAAAACTTTTTTCACCTCAAAACAAAAATCTATTTCATTGTGTTTTACTTTCTGAGTTGCTTTTAACCTGATTGCCAGGCAATACTGCTGCTGTTTTATTTCCAATCACGCTGGCCATCCTGCCTGCAATCCGTTTACAAAGGATGCTGCTACCTGCGGTTGTCACTCGGCGTGTCGTTCCTCGTGGCAGAACAGGCCTCAGACGCACCACCGTGACAGACCAGTCAACCGGGAAGCTTCAAAGAGAAAATGCCATATCCTGACATGTCAGGCAGGGAGTTGGAAGGGAACAGGAGATTTGCAAGGCTGACACCCATCTGTGATGCCACAATGGAGGGATTTGTCTTGTTCATGGCAGTTGAAGCAGTTTATGTGACATATGCATGATACATATACGAGCTGACTAAAGGTCAAACGCTGCTTTTAGCTCCATTGGTGAAAATCCAGCGGATGTTGACAGTTCTTGGGCCTGCACTCATGCAAGCCAAAAGGAGGATTTGGCCAAAGAATTAATCAGGTGTGCTGTTCCCCACAGAATAGTCAGAAGCAGGCACTGAGATGTCCTGAGTTTTGTCACAGATGGAAAAAGGCCTCGCAAGCTCTTAAGGATCATCTGCTGCTGCAGGAGACAGAAGAGCCCTGGGAGAGCTGTGCTTTTTTAATGCCTGAAATGTGCGCATCTCATAAAAGCAGTCATCAGCACAAAGCTTTCCAGCTGAAGCTGCTGCAGTGCATGAGCTCATTAAGTAAACTCACTTTTCAGCTATCATTAAGATTGATTTCGGGTAGCACGATCATCCCTTTTTCTCCTTTAATAAACACAGCCTTTCTGTGCTGTATGAAAACAGAGCAGCAAAGCAGGTCTTTCTGCGGAAGTTTAATGACATGAAATCTCAGCTTCAGTCAATTTGATGAGAATAGGATGTGAAATTGCCTCCCGGGTGCAAGACAATTGTGCAGATGAAAAAAACCCTTTGCAGGAAAATTTGCTAGAGTCCAGAAAACACCCTGAACCTGTCTGTCTATAGAGGAGGGTCCATTTCAGGCTTCCATTACCAATCCCATTAAATACTTGGATGGGTACATTAGTTTCTGACTCTCTAATAAGAACAAAGTCACTCAATTTGTAATATTTTTTTCACCTAGTGACTTTTTCCATGGGTTTAAAGGGTGTTACCGCAGTGCATTCTCTCAGAGTACAGGGAAGCATTCTGCTTTCGTGTGATCCAGATTTTTTTTAATGCCCAGCTTGAAGGACTTCAGAGGTTCCAAAGTGCTGGGAATTTGTATTTTCAGATGCAATCGATAGGATCCCTCAGTGCGTGGCAGTTGGTAGAAACTGGACCTCGGGTGTCTTAGAATGCCCACTCGAGCCCTCCTGCAGCGTGACTGCTTCAGTGAGTCACTGCAGATCAAAGAGCAAGTTAGAAAGTGAGCCCAGGCAGAAACCAGATCTTCTGACCCCGGTGTCTGCTTGGAGTGATGAGATTACACTGCTCCGCGGAAAGCCGGCCGCCAGAGGAGTGACCTATTTTACCAACCAGGTCATTTCCATTAGCTCAGTGGTTATTGTTCTGTTGTTTTAATTAGTGCCATTTCAAATAAGCGGCCGGCTCTGTGGAAAGGTCAGTACCTCGCTGAACTCTTCCTCGGTAAAAATTACGTTGCTAGGGAAATGACACCAGCAAAGTAATCAATTCTTGTTAGACCTCCAGGTATGACATGCAGTTGCTTAGCGGCCGGCCAGGCACATCTCGGTTGAGAAGATGACTCACTCCATCAGTGTAACTCAGAGCAAACAACGTTCAGCCCTGGCCTAGCCGCATATGACAAGTACAAACATGTTTTGAAACAGTGCCATCTGTTAAAGACAGTAATTCTGGAGGGGGAAAGAGGGCGATAAATCCTGTTCAAGCAGAATTGGGATTCTCTGGTAGCATCCTCTCAATTATAGAGATGTAGGTACACCAGATGATCCCCATAAAATGAGCAGGCTCACATAGTTAACTCCTCAGCTGTCTATGAAATCCTGAGACTCATGTTGACACACCATCCCACTAGCAAGATAGCGTCAATATTCCTCCTGTAAAATGCAGTCCTTATTAAAAGGCCTTTCGTATCAACTTGTCCATGTCTTTACTGATGAAACAAAACTTTGCAAATGGAATATAGTTGTTACCATGTTCAATGTGGCTTTAGTGGCAAAGCTTGGGTAATTAGTGGTCGATATTGCCACGTTAGACTTCATCCACAGATGTAGCTGTTCAATGCACATGACTGGAAAATAGTGCATATCACCATGTTACTGCACTGGACAAAGCAGTAATAAATACTGTTTATTACCCATGTATTGAACCTAAATGAAATTGTTAGCCAAATAGAAAGACTCAGAGAAACTGTAGAATTCCTGATGGCATTTGTAGAAGTAACTGAATAGTGGAGGAGTATAAATCCTATTGCCTTCAATACCACATCCTGGATGTGAATGAGTGTCCAACTTTTAAACTCTACGGTCTATCAACATACCAAAACCATGCGGAAATATTACCAGTATGCAGACATAGACATCTAGAGATGTCTAAGCAGGTTATAAATCCATTTTGTGGTGGAGTCTTTCTGTTTTCTGCCAATGCAAGCTTGCTGCAGCAGTGCCTAAATGCAGACACTTTTAAGACAGAACGTGAAAGGCACCTACGAATCAATGCACTTACATCTGTGTGCCACTTTAAGCATTTAAATATTCTTACTTGTTTTAAAATACTATGTTTACACTTAAAATTAAGGCAAATTTAATATATTTTGCTGCATTAAGGCCTAAAATAAGCAACATTTTTGCATTTGCATGAATTAGTGAAGAATAGTCTATTCACTTGAATTGACAAAGGGGTTTTAAGTGAATGTATTTACTTGATGAGCACCAGATTAATACTCTGTTTTCATTAAGATCTCTTTAATGAAGCACAAAATTCTTAGCTGTGTAATCTTACCCTTAAAACTGTGCCACTTGTAACAGAAAAATCCTTATATTACTACTGGAATACTAGATTTAGGATAAAAAATAGTATGTTAAGCTCAGCTGAAAGGAATGTTTATGGTCTTTTCAGTAAGCTTTGGATCAAGTGATTAGTGAGGCATCAATACCAGCAGTGTAATTCTAGCTTGTTTTTTTCTCCTCCTCAGTTTGTCTGATCCAGCTCGTAACCCAGCCCAGACCTGGTCAGTGCAGGGCACATGGCAAGGTCAGAAATCACATTATAAGGACATGTACCAAAGGAAAAATAGTTCTCACAAAGAAACCCTGATGTGGTATTGAATTGACAGGGTGCAATCAGGTAGAGTGCCACCAAAAACTGCTTACATTTTAATTTTCTGTAAACAACAAAGTATGGAGCACTCAGGCAGGGAGGAGTATGGGGTTGCTCATCAGGTGGCAGGCAGAACTGCTGACGGTGATCTGCCGTGAGGAGAAATGTGCTTGCTAAAAAACTAACCTTTAGGTTTCAGTGCTGAGTACCTTTCAGATGGGAAAAGATACTTCTGGCTGATGGAAATGTTGGCCTGACACAGAAGAGATGATCTAAAATATTCACTAGCGTTATAGTATCAACTCTGCCGCAGTGACATCTCATACTGAACATTTTAGCTGTTTATATAAAGGGAATATTGACAGTTCAAAACCAAGACTCTCCAAAATACCCCACCAGCTATCTGACATCTGTAAGATTTTGGGTCAGTATTTAACTGAGCATTTTAAAAAAGCCGATAAAGGGGAAAAGAGCTCTACACCATGTACATGATACGAGTGAGGAAATACGGCAGACTGTGTGATGGTCTGTACTTCTGAGTATCTAGTGGGCGTAGTATCAAAAGGACAGGTTTTTTCCCACATAAGCATATGATGTTTATATCTGAAATGTCCATCTTGATGAAGAAGTGCCTTTAATTTCAAATTAGATGAGTTCAGCCCTGAACTTGCATATCAAACCATCTTCTAGACTTCTAGAGCTGTATACACAGCCACAGCTGCCCACTGGATTTTCAGGTAAATGCTTGACTTCAGCAACTTTAAAAAAATATTCGCTTTAATAAGTTCAATTTACATATTCATTTCATCTGAATTTAATTAAAAACCTTTTGTTCGGCTTCTTTTCCAATCAAACCATATAAAATCCAGACAGATAAGCAGTTTAGGATAATATTTTCCTCCCAGAATGAAGCACCTATTTCATAGTCTTGCATAATTTATGAAGTCAATTAAACCTGTTTACAGCTTTCATCAGAATGAATTGCTACAGATACTGTTACCTATATTTTGTGACTTACGTGACTTAAATAATTAGAATATATATGCACACATTTGCTCTTTTTATGAATATTGGCTCTATTTGGTACACCAGTTGTTATAATGTAGTTGTTCAGGGGGTTTTTAATCAGATTGATCAAAGTTCCTTACAGGTGCTGGTTTGTTCTTTTAAGTGTTGGCTCTGCATTAATTCTCCAGAGACGAGGATGAAGACTGTTCCTTTGAGTTTCTACTTACCGTTCAAACTCTTGCTGCAGAGAATATGGTTTAGATCCTGCACCCTATCTGTTGAAGAATAACTGGAGTTTGCTTTTGTTTTGCCTTGATTTCTAGAAAACTTGGATACAATGATAGCTGAGCAGACAAAGAAGAAGCTTGAGAACCCTTCCACTCAAACCAGAACGAAGCTACCAGCAGGTACTTGGTCTGCAATTTTCTCTCCTGGAAATACCTATTTAATAACACTTATTTTTTAACCTACTTGCTTAAAAGCATGCTAACTGCTTTAGAAGCTAGAATGCTAGTTAAAGATACAGTCCCTCAAGGACCTTCCACAGGGCTCGGTTTTGGGGCCAGTCCT